TTTTTACATGCTGTCATTTAATTCGATCATTTTCTTAACAGATTAGTTTTGTTCAAGGTGATGGGAGAAGGTTGCACCTTTTCTGTTACAGTAAAACTGTTAATTTGTCGATATTGTGCACTTTGAAGCAAAAGGAACGAGCTAGGATTCTATCTGTTTTTATAATTAAAATATTGTTGTGGATAAACGATTCACTTAAAGTAATTACCTGTTGTTAAATTTAATATTAATTTAATATAAAAAACCTAAAATATACCTAAAAATAAAATACGATAATAGTTGTGTTTGCTTTTGATAATCGTATTACATTAGCGATATATAACTCTACTTTTTAAATATGATAATTTGTAGCAAAGGGAAATAATACATTTTTCGTTAGTTTCATTGCATAAAAGGTACGAAATTTAAATTTTATCGCAGTATTTGCAGATAAATCGGTAATCGCTACAGAAAAACAGAACAAATTACAGTAAATCACAACAAACTACAGAAGCGGAAGTGGGACAATAGTATAGGGAATGAGGGTTCTAGACCACTAACTGATATCGTCGCGGTCATCTCTTTTTTATTTTCGTCTTAAATCAACAAGAATCCTGCAGTATTCTCGTCCAATTTTTCTAGACCACTTTCTAAGAACCATCCAATCCCTCGGTTCCAATCAACTTCCATCCAATCTCCAATTCTCTATTTGACAACTGACTCAGTATCCAGTTATAGTCAACTCACTACTTCCCGGGGTTCTGGTTCCCCTAACACCTAGTGACGTTGCTTTCTCTTTCAACACCACTTTTAGATATTTCTTTACATCTTCTGGTAATGTGTCGTAGTTTTTCCTTAGATGATTCTCATCAGTTACAACTACCCTTAGCGGTGTTAGTTTCTTGAACTTAAACCTCTTCCGTGGAATCACTACTTTGTATTTTGGTCTGGGAATATGTTTCTCTTCTTTTGGTCCCAAGTCTTCCCAGGGAGGGCCTTCGTAGAATTCTACTGCTTCCTCGAGTCTACAGTATTCACTCTGAGTTTCAGCCCTTTCTAGTACACAGCTCGGTTCCACTTTTTCTTCAATCACCACCTCGGCCTTCATTTCTCCTATTGAGGGGTGTCCATACGCGTAACTTGTAACACCATCTTCAAGTAGGTATCTTTTGTCATCAAAACAGCTGAGTGTAATTTTCTTTAGCTGGTAAGTTCCGATTTTATGTTTGATGCTTCTAATTGTGTTCATCTTATGTCTCATCCTACCTTTGGTCTTAATTACATTCTTAAAGTTTTCGTGAGTGAGTTTGTTTCTAATCACGTGCTTTTTCACACCTTTAGCTGTCATTCCACCTCCACCACTCTCCTTCACGTAGGAGTACATCTTCGACCTTAACCCTACGAATTCAATCACTGGTACTCCTTCAGCCTCATCCTTAAACTTTCCAATTACCTTCTTATTGTGAGCTGAGTAATATGGAGAATCTTTCGGATAATCTGAGTTGTCCCAGCAATCCTTCTCCTCACCGATCCTCTTGAAGTCCTCGTACACGTCATCAGTCTTGATCTCATACATTAGACTATCAGTGTCTGTGAATAGGAGCTTCGACTTGTCACCGTACTCCTTCTTGATTGTGTTGTAATGGAAGTCGTACATTAGAGTCTTAGACAAGTCCAGGATACTCATTCCCACATA